ATTATAGAGACTGATACAGAAGTCTGAGTATAATAACATCTTTTACAGCTTCTCATATCATAAGAGTGCTGCCTGCTTAAGACTGTAGAGTCTCTGCATTAACTCATACATAAGATTATCACAGTCTTCATGAAATTCTGTGAGTTGATTCATATATATTCATTCATTAGCAGACAGTTGAGTGTTTAAAAATGTAATTATCATATCAATCTGCAGAACATATCATCTCCAGAATACTGAGATTGTCATGAGAGCTTATGAGATAAATACAGAGATAACAGATGCAAAGATTCTTAAGTAATTAACTTTTTTCTATTGAAGATTTTCACAGACAACTCAGCAGGTCTTATAGTGAATAACATCACTTATATTATTAAACTTTTTATCAAATACTCATTAATTATAAAGAACACTCATTTGTAGTATTTTCTTAATCAGTTATTAGATCTCTATCTGTTTCAAACAGTTGATCTCTTTAACACAGATCTTATAATAATACTTTCATTTCATGAAAGCTTTAATACATGTGAGATTTTTCAGGATCAGAAGTATAGTAATCTTGAAATTGATAAACAGATCTTTAAGACTATCTCTCACTGAAGATTTTCTCACTATAGTGATATTTCTTATAGATATCAGAGAATTATCTAATTTAACTGTAAGTTCTGAGAAGTTCAGTGTATTCTATACTAAAAAGATAGATATTCTCACAGAGATATCATAGTCAATTCATCAATTATTAGTAAGTATGAGAAAAAATAAACACTCAGATCAGATTTTCTCATCAATGAATAGATTATCTATTAATTGATTAAAAATTGCTGTAATCTCTTAATAAGCTGCAGTGAGTAGACCTGATATCACTGAAGAAATTACTGCAGTTACTTTACAGACTGTATTGAGTAGAATCTTCAGATTGTGTGTTATTAATATCAATGAATTGATAAGATAAAGATTCTTCTGAAAGATGATATCTTTTAATATGTATAAATGTCTGTTGAAGAGGTTCATCAATCTATAATTAATAAAATCATCATATTTCACAAAAATCAACTCTTTGAAACAGGAAGCCATCTTATTGATGAGCTTGAAGACTATTTTCAAGAATGCTTTGCAACCTCATCAGTGAATGCCATGTGCAGAGAGTAGAGCTTCAAGCCAGATCTTATACAGTGTAATTGACTTTGTATTTTCAGAGCTCTTATACAATATCATTGAGATTGACATAAGATTAAACAGCTCTGTGACTGTAATAACTATCTTATCTCACATCTTTTCTGAAGCTGAAGAGTCTATTAATAGTAATCAGAACTTCTTAATAATTAAACTGATTAATTATTCAGATACTTCATCTTACTGTGAAGTATAAGAAGAAGTCAGCTCTTATTTTATATCTTTATTAAGTATATATGCTGTGACTGTATTTGAATTCAATTCTTCACAATCTGAGTAAATAATTGCAATGTCATGTCTCAGCAGATTCTTGATGAATTGATTGAAGATTTATAGATATCTCAATATCTTATTCTTGCATTTCAATAGAAATATTCACCTTATATAGATGGCATTATCTGTTATCATTATTACAAGCTTCTTATCAGTGTAAGATAATATATTATTCTCAGTTTCAAGAGTCTCATCATTATCAAATATATTCACTCAAATCTTCAAGGCCTTGCAGATGATATGATGTGATGTGAAATTCTTGTAGAAAGTGTGTTTCTGTTTAGACTTAATATATATAACACAGAATGATAATTTCTTCAGATCAATAATAATAATATTAAATTACAGGTCTCTGATTATTTTTAATATACTATTTTCACTGATATAATTAAGTTGATAATATCACTTATCTATCAGAAGCTGTTTCAGAAGAACTGCAGATAATCAAGATAAAGATGAGATAATAAAGAAATCAGTATCTGAATTCTTAGAGTTAATTAACTGTTCAATCTTCTTGTGACTGAAAGATCTCAAAGACTCTGCATTTGAATCATAATCTGTTGAGATTGTCTTTGATTTCAAAACAGTCATATATGTCACTGCTTCATACATTGAGTCATTTATTATCTCATGAAATATCAGTGAGCTGTTGAATAGAATGTAAATATTATTATGAGACAGATTAACATAGAAGATATCACTGTTGATAGATAATAGAAACTCAAAGTAGTTCTCAGTATTAACTTATATATCACAGTAAATATAGCTCTGACATTTCATAAGCTCAGCAGAGATCAGATTTATGAATAGTTCTGACACATAGTATACATGATTGAATTCTATTAATCTTTCACTTACTGAGATGAATACAGTGCTGACACTCTGAATCTTTATAATAATCTTATTAATCACTTGAACTGTTAAATCATTGATTACTATAAGTTCTGAAAATCATGATCTATCACTCACTATGTAGCATTCAGTGCTACTATCTCATATAGTGAGAAGATTCTTGTGAGATTTCACAAAACAGACTGACACATTGATAATCTCTGTGAGATTTATTATCTGATAGATGTCTGATTCATCTGTAAAGAATAGTTAAGTTCTACTCTCACTATTATTCTTTTTCTTCTTTTTCTTGAATTTCTTTATTCTCACAGTATTGTTTATCTTTTAATTATTCAGAGCACTGTCTGAATTAATCAATCAATAGATATCAAAGTGAGATCTCTTACATTCAGAATAGATAGATGAATTTTCTAATTTCTGATAATTTTAGAAGCTCTCTTGAGTACTATTATAATCACATTCAGTACAGCCTTTACAGGTTAAATTTAATATATTATTGATAGTCATTATAACTATTGTAACTATTATAGCTATGTTAACTGTAGAATCTATATTCTGTAGATTCTTTTTATCTTTTGAAGAATTAAGCTATGAACAGATTTTCTTCATGAGAAGATTAATATTCAATATCATAGCTGTGAATTTAAAATTCTGTATCTTCTCTATTTTCTTCTGAATATAATTTCTTCAATTATTGAGTAGAACTGAGTAGAAGATATTAAATATTTATGCATCTGAGAGAGAAGTATTCAATATCTTCAATTTCATAATAATGAATCAGAACTTATTAAAGAATGTGTGTAGATTAATGATCTGTGTATTATTAAGAGATATGAATTTCAGAACTGTCTCACAGTATAACTGTATTTTAAGAACAGAGTATTTCTGTTCAATCACATTTCATAGAGTATAAGTAATTTAATTTTCATTATACTTGAAGAAATGTGATCTGACACCTGCACTCAAGAAGTTTGAGATAAATGTGTAAAGTCACTGATTTCTGACATCTTAGAATAATACTCATTTATTATCTTTTTATAGAGAGTTCTGAGTCTGTTATTTCTCTATCATATATTAACACTGTGCATCAACCAGTTTCAATTTCATGAAGATACTTTATATAATGTAATTGAATATATCAGTTAGACTGTTTAATCTCACAGTATTCTTAATATTTTTCTTAAATTGAGAGATTATCTTATCAACACAGCTATCTGATTTATAAAGATTGAATTTCAATCTTTCACTGAGATTAGAATTTCATATAACTGTACAGACTGTTAATGTAATGATAGAATGATTATTAACATTTTACAATTAATTTATAGAGAATGAGAATCTCTGTTAACAGAGTTTTTTCAGTTATAGTTCAAGTTCTAAGACTCTTTACTTCTTCTTATTCATCTCAAGTATTATCTTAAGATGCTTTATCTGTTAATCTGATATTATCTTATCTGAATAGTAGATATCTGAGTGTTCATTATTCTTATTAAGAGAATCAGTATTAAGCTATTAAGTAGATTAAGAGGCTGATCTGACTGTGTCAGAAGCTGTATTTAAATCAGCTTCAAATCAAGAGAGTGTTGTGAGATGTTCTTCAATGAAGCTTTCAAAGACTTCAGAAGAATGTTCACTGACAGAGTATAAGTATGAAGAATTATTATCATCATTAACTGCAACTGATTTAGTGAAAAGAATATGAGATTATGAACATGTATATGAGTAAGATTATATTAAATTCACTATCTTGATATTCATTTATTAAATTCTCAATATTCATTTATTGAATTCTTGTCAATATTATTCTCTTTTTCTTTCTTTTTTGCAAATATGATATGTTTTCTGCAAGTCTCTTTTTTAAGCAAGCAGTAGTATTATTAATCATCAAGATCTCAAACACATTAATACTGATAGAATAAGATGATTTTAACTTCTGAAGAGTGTATTGAATGAAGCAGTAGTTCAAATAATAAGTATATTGATAAGAAATTCTGAATTGGCAGTGATTTTGCACAAAACAGATCTCATAACCTGTGAAAGGTGTAAAGCTTGTGTGATTGAAAGGTTGCTAGCTTTGTGGGAAGTTATATGGTGAAAGGATTAGTAAGCCAGATCACGTGACCTGACAAAATGTGTGTGGCGACTTACGCAGCGTAAAATATGAAGGGGGAGATCTAAGAACTACTGTGCCACTGCTATTTATTATTGTAAAAGTGTGCCGGGAATTTAATGAGCACCTGGGCACAAGGCATGGTTGACGCCTACTAACAATGCGACCGTGCATAAACGATGAACGGAATCATCGATAATAACGCGTGGAATGGTAGGATCTACAGTACACACCGATCATGACAGATAGGGATACTACGAAGAGAAGGGAGAGATTTTTTTTTTAAAAAAAAAGTGTTGAACGACAAACGAATCCGTGTTGATTTTATTTGTCTCGGAAGAACGATGCGCACATAATGTACAACATTTAGAAGGAAAAAAACAGAATTAGTAACGAAGTGCGCCTTTGACCGAATTCCCAACCGCCATTGCCACTGTGATCGCAACGATCTCACACGTTTAATGTGCTAATAAATAAAAATTGAAACCGGCAAACTAGAAAACCCAGATGGAGAAAAAAAGAGAAGCAAGCCATCGCCTCACTAGTCATAAGAGATGACAGCTGTCAAAACACCTTGGTGCAAGAAACACACAAAAACCCATTCGTCATGAAACAAAAAAAAAAAACAGAAAGACAAAAACTATTCAAGACGACCGTTCACCACGCAGACGACGGGCGAGTTGGATGTCTTTCGACTGGATGGTAACACGCTTGGCGTGGATGGCGCACAGGTTGGTATCTTCGAAGAGGGAGACGAGGTAAGCCTCGACGGACTCTTGAAGGGCACCAATGGCGGAGGACTGGAAGCGCAGATCCGACTTGAAGTCTTGGGCGATTTCACGGACAAGGCGCTGGAATGGGAGCTTGCGGATGAGGAGCTCAGTAGACTTCTGGTAACGACGAATCTCACGGAGAGCGACGGTACCTGATTTGACGCGTTAGATGGTTGTTGTCATCGTAAGATGAGACGCGTTTAGATTGGATATGTTACTTACCAGGCTTATAGCGATGGGGCTTCTTGACACCACCAGTGGATGGGGCGGCTTTGCGAGCTGCCTTGGAGGCGAGCTGCTTGCGCGGGACCTTGCCTCCGGTAGATTTACCTGTAGGATATCAGGTTAGTGCTTGTTGGATGGCAGATGAATGGGGTGTGATGTGGTTGTGGATGGGACGTGGTAATGGAAGCGTGGTGTAGTGGTGGCACGACGCGACCGAGCGACCAACCAACAGCCACGATGATGAGGTGACAGTAAGGTGAAGGTGGTGAAGGCGAGGGTAATGACTTACGGGCAGTTTGCTTGGTTCTGGCCATCTTGAATGTCGTGAGAGTTATTTAGAGATGGATATTTTGATGAAATATGTGGTTGTTGATGAAAGTGGTGGATGGTGGTTGATGACGACGATGTAAGGAGCAGGTTGGGAGGTTGTAAGGAAGAGGGAGAAGAATGGGTGGGGGGAAGGTATTTGTAGTAGCGAGAGGGCCAAGTGGGTGATCTTTTTGAGTTTGCGCTGGGCGAGTTAATTGCCTGCGCAGTTTTTGATGGGGGGACGGGGAATCTGCCGTACTAGCGCGGTTTGGTTTTTGATCAGAAAAAGGTGCTGGAAAGCAGCACTTGGTAAGGGCTGATTTGGGCGGCTGTTTTCTGCGGGCAAAAAGAGACAAAGACTGATCTGATTTTCTTGGCGGCCGGGTCAAGGTTCAGCCTGCGCTAAGCGAGAATAAGTGCGTATCAGCCAATCAGCGTGCAGGATCAGTATTCTACATCCAGCTGCTGTCTGTTTCTGATCCCACCGCCAACCTTTTCAAATTGTAATTCAAGTGTTTACGTCCAAATTTGAGCAGTGAGTCGATTCGAAATCACTCATTTCTCAGTCCAGATCAACGTTGTGAAGAGTGTTGCCCGCAAGATCAGCTGCGGTGGCGGAATTGTCACCGAATCACTGGGCATTCACGGATCACGGGTTGGCTGAGTCATCGCGAGCTGTGATTGGCTGAATCAGCCCCTAGCGTCGTGATCACAGACATCGGCCTCCCCACCAGCCGCCAACCCTCGCCGCATTCAAATACAGCAGCTCTCCGACTTCTCTTCTGCTTCTTCTCTCTTCTCTTCCCCCCACACTCTCACATCAACAAGCTTCTCTCCACGCGTCTATTCCTGCGATACCACACCATCTTCAAACTACCCACTACCTTTTTTAACCAAAAACAAACCTCTACAACTCTATCAATATGACTGGACGTAAGTTAATATATCTGGCATCCCAAAGACGCGTCTCATCAAGGTGACTCGCTAACAATCACTCTCAACAACAGGCGGCAAAGGAGGCAAAGGTCTTGGAAAGGGCGGTGCCAAGCGCCATCGCAAGATTCTACGAGACAACATCCAGGGTATCACCAAGCCCGCTATCCGTCGTCTTGCCCGCCGTGGCGGTGTCAAGCGTATCTCCGCCATGATCTACGAAGAAACCCGTGGTGTCCTCAAGACCTTCCTCGAAGGTGTCATCCGCGATGCCGTCACATACACTGAGCACGCCAAGAGAAAGACAGTCACGTCGCTAGACGTTGTCTATGCTCTTAAGAGACAAGGACGTGAGTTTACTACCCTTTAGCATCATTTAGTTATATATCGTTTCGACGCGTCTCTAACATCTTTTCCCTTTTCGCAGGTACTCTCTACGGTTTCGGTGGTTAAACTTGCACAAAATATTCATATACCTCTTTTAACGATCCGGTTTTCCCTTCTACGATATTGGCTTCGTGGTGTTACATTTCTTTGTTGCGGCTATTCATGGGTTTATTCGCTGGGTTTCGTTTGTCTTAATTATTTTTTCATGTCTTTTTTCCCCTGGGTGGGCTGGTGGCCGTGGAGTCTTGCTTGTATCATACAAACCAAAGTGTTTTGTTCACATTTTATATTCGCTGTTTTCAGCCATCCATTAACGCTATCCTGGTGGCAATTCTTGAGATCAAGAATTTATCGAATGAAATTGCAGTCTGATCTGCCTTTCTTGTTTTAATCCTCTCAACTTCCATAGCAAATTCGATATCTAGTCTTATGGTTTATGTAAGCATCGGACGCGTATTGTTATGATGCCTATGCTCGACCTGTACCCGTATACCCGTGTATGATCCATTGGTTTCCGCCGTTTCCGTTTACTGGTTATGGGATCTTGTTGCAGTTCCATTTGTCCGTGACACAATGGGCGCGCACATCGCATTACTTATCATTACTTACTTTCTATACGTACTGTATCTCATTATTGCAAAACACAGGCGTACTGAGCTTTTGATGTTTGCTATCATGTTTACGACAAAATCTCTAGAAATCAACGCAGGACTAGATATATATGTCACGTGATCTTTATGTTTTATCTACGGGAAGTAGGCGTAGACTGTTAAATTCCGTTGGAAATATTGTTTTATTCTTTTTGGTTTGTATTTCGATCTTGTGTTTCATGTTTTTAATAGTAAGAAGTAGTTTTTCTCATGTTGTGGTGGTTGTAGTTGGGTATTTTTTTATGTTGCCGCTGGAATATATATATAACTTCGCCCTTGAGGGATATATAGATTCTCCAGAGACGTTTCGGAGCCAATATTTTGACAACCTAGAATACCAGATGAAGCTCAGTAATTAGACACGTAGAATTTCTTAATTCACTTTCATTTATCTTCCTTAGAACAATTATCTCTGCTAATCCAGCTCCATCCATCTCCAACCAGCAGCATTATCCCAGACGAAACGCATCTGCAAACTGTACTCTTATTTCCTAATTTTCTACTACATACTACGCGTAATCAATAACCAACAGGGAGCAAGCTGATGCAAGGGCCAAGGATGACAAAACAGCTATACCGCTCATTGTTGTTATGATATATGACCGGACCAGATATCTATAGATGAGCCATCGTCACGTCTTAAGGTTCTACACGTAAGGGAGCCCGAGCCCGAGCCCGAGCCCGAGCCCGAGCCCGAGCCTACTCCTACGGCTCGAAAGAGAGGACCAACCTCTGTGGAGTGTCGTAGGTGCCATTTCACCTTGTCAGAGCACTGATATATACCTCCAATCCAAAATACACGCCCCGGTGTGTCAATCATACATATATCCAAGTGTCCACGCCACCCGCCTGTATTGATATTTTGTCAGCATGGGGAATGTCCATCCGTTGGGAGGTTCAAATATATGAGTCATTGGTTTTACTCCACTGGGTTGTATTTTCGTTGGGAGGGATAGGGAGGCCGAGGGTCGCAGTAAGTGTCCAGACGGCAACAACGAAATCGACCACAGCGGCGGTTGGGATGGCGAGTTTCCGACTCTCGTGGGTGCCTAAATAGCAGGTAAGGCTGGCTCATTGCACTGGAGGAAAAGAGTTTATGTGTTTTAGGCTGCTGCCATGTCTGTTTCTGCTGTGAGAGTCTGGTGATAGACCAGTGCGAAGCGTTTTAATGTTGGTTGAATCTGACTTCGGCCTTTGGAGTGAAGCGGTGGCGCGACTGAGGCTTGGCAAACTCCAGGGGGGGGCGCGTTTCTCTTTCCCCGCTTGAGATTCTCTGACACTGCATTTTGTAACTATAATACTCGAAGATAAGATGGAAATACTCAGTCAACTACAGAATAAATCGTTGATTATACGGTAAGGTTAAATCCGATTGGTTTCTGGTGCATGGCAAGCGACGAAACGAAAACCCGATACCAACCCCGGCTCCTACTAAAAGATTGAAGTAAACAACTCGTCCCTGAAAATACTGTGAAATGGGGTCATTTTAATGAATCATCCTTCGCTCCTCCAACGCCGTCAGCGGATTTTTGCTTCAGTTTTTTTTAAATATACCTCAGCAAGCTGCTGGCACGGTCGCCAAATGCATCGTCGATTTCCAAGACTCATGAATTCGGCGTCCATGGCGTAGGTTGGGGTCGTCTTTTCGTATAGGTAGAGATAGAGTCGTTTCAGACTCAGGTCGTCGGGAATTCCACTTCCCTTGCCACCGCTATCCTCGTTGTCATCGTTATCTGCCTCGCCATCGCTGTCTTCCCCGCCGTCGTCATCAAGAATATCGTTCATTTCCCAAAGCCACTCCATTTCCCGGGCAAGGAGCTGCTTCCAGGAGCCTTATAACACGTGGCACTGGTGACTGCCCATGATGCCTTTGAAAGGGCACAGATTGAGCTTCCAGAAAGCCAAGACGGGATGTTGTATAGAATCTCAAACGGAATTTTGTCGAATGGATCCTTAACGACATGCTTCTGAATATCATGATTGAGGGGAGTGTGTTTGAAAGTATCATGCGTGATTAATTCACGGAGCAAATCTGTCGCATCGATGAGGGGGTTTTGTTATGATATACTGGAACGAAGTGTCGTCCACCTGGCCACATAAATACAGAAACCTGCGGATTGAAATGGTGTTATTTGTGTATTCTCTACCTACATCTTCCCCAGGCACAGAGTACCAGTCCTGTTTCCGGGCCCTCAAGTTGTCCATAATCCAACTCCAAGAAGGCATAGACCTGAGAGAATTCCTTCATCACTTCGTATAGTACTGTCCTATCAAGGTTTGTTGGATTCTGTCTCATAATTGAGTGCCCATGCTAGGCGGCAAAAACATTCCCAGTGGAATGGGAACATGGGATCTGGGCTTCCAAGATATCTTTGAAGGCCCATGGTAAGTATTTTATTATTACAAGGTCAGAATGAATGGAAATTCTGAATACAGGTTGAGTAAGTAGTTCTATCGGGCGGCTGGTCGGGATCTAGTATCATTTTCTCTGTTACTCCTGGAGCTGATAAGTTACTAGATGAATGATTTAAAAAGACAAAATGTAGTTACCATCGCCAATTTCAACTTGTATTTCCAGCTACCAACCGACTTTCTCAGCAAAATCAATCCATTTTGATACTGAATCAAAAACAGCTGGGTGAACGTGACTTACCAGATAATCCAAGGCCTTCCCTGGGCCAGAAATGAACCCCCTAAATCACAACAATACATCCAGATACAGAGAGGTTAACCAAACCGCTACTGTCCCACCTACTCAAAAGAGCTATTGAAAAAGAAAGGGGTCGTTCTACATGGATTTCTTCAGTGACATAAAATACTTTCTATCAATGCATCCCACACAGTGTACAGTCCATAACCACTGCAGACTCTCTTCACTAACGAGCTCCGGGTCATAAGCATAGTTCTCCTCATGCTTAGTCCACCCGCCTTCATTCACATTGTATTCACCCCTTAATTCCTCTGCATCCCAGCCATCAGGAGTCCCGTATCTGGATGGATACCGTCCGGTTTCCATGAACAGCTTGCGCTTTCTCGCAACTCTCCTGTGCCGCCACTCGAGAGCTTCTGATGTAGCTGAACCTATGCTACATGTTTCAGCGGTCCCGCTGCAGAGGGTGCAATAGCAAGCTGTTCCGCCCATGGTCAAGGATTGATTGTGTATAATTAATTAATTGTATTGAGTGTCGATGGAGTAGACGGGGGTTGACAATTGGCAATTCCCCAAAGCAAAAGAGATCATCTTTGGAGAGAGGGAGAAATAATATACTGTTTCGCGCATCTGCCTGGAAGAGACGAATACGGGCTTTGTGGTGGGGGGGGGGTCGATGCCTTTGGTTTGGCAAATCAGCATTTGAAGCTCTTGTTCTTTTCCCGCGCCCGTCTCTCTCGGACTCTCTCCACACCGCGCACGGACAATGAGGGGGCTTCTGGCGATCATGGGCTATGACACTTTGTAAAACGTGTTAGCAAGCGCTGAACATCATCGGAGAGTTCTCATTTTCGTGGTATGATTGAGCTTGGAGTGCATTTATGATTAATTAGCTTCGAGTACCGTTTTTCGAGAAACATCAGTAGAATGTAGGGGGTATTTAAACGCGGTCCCACTTGGGAAGAAGCCAAACGCATCGCGTAGTAGGTTGAGACAAATTTTGAGAAGGTTAACCTATTCAAATAAGGCCATCTTTGGGGTAGCAGGATTGTTTCCGTTGGCCTGTAACGTCGTTAATTCTTTGCATACAACAGTTGGAGGGCGCTACTTTTTTTATACTCCATGAGTCCACGTCGCGTGGTTCAGGCACAACAATGGCGGCTGTTATTTATTTATCTGGGTAACTAAGGTACTTTCCAACCCACTTTGCTTAGAAGGCTCGATGAAGAAAGAAATAGAACAATTTCGATTTCCCCGACGATATTTCTGACCCTGCAAGGATGCCCTCAGATCTGAACCATTTCAGGGTAATTAGGTCCATTCATTTTGGCCGTTCTCACTCATTTTCGCGGCGAATCTTGGTGACTCTCTGACATTTGCTTGCTTCCAAGGTTGCTGCTATTTTGGGTTCTCAAAGGAGGTAGTTATTTAAGTAATGGCCAACAGATATTACGGTGAACATCCGGGAACCACGCATAGTAAGAGAAACTGAAAAAAGTAACCAACAGTGTTGTCGAATAAAAAAGAAATCCCACCTTTTCATTTTTTTAGAGGTGCTGCTCTCGATACTTTACCTGGTAGCAACCCCAAGTTTGGACCAAAGCGAGCTGAATGCCACTCACTCGCTCTCCAGCTAACTAAATAATCCCCACCAAACTGCTCCCGCTCTTCCTCCATTTTGAGATTCATGGGATGTTTATTTCTGCTGAGAGGAACTAAGCAAAAATGCTGGCTCCCAGGGTGAACACAAGCCAGGTTCTCTAAAAGTGGAAAACCTTTCCCAGTTCATGTCAGCGAAGAATGGTCTGTCCCGCACGTCGTCCAGGGGAATTTATTATTGTTTGGGAAATCGAACTGCGCAGTGCTCACTTCTCACCCAATCTTCAAGCAGGGGTTGTCGAGTGTTGCACTACGACGCAGCGTACTCTCCATGGCTTGTATGGGTTTTTGTGATGGTGTTGAGAGGGTCGTGCCTAATATAGGCCCTAATCCCCGCCCTGCGGCGAGGTGACGAAAGGAGAACGCCGCAAGCCAGAGGTTATTTGTTTCCTACGTACGGAGTAAATAACTGTACTTCCTTTCAAGTTGTCCTTCCACATATTTACGGAAGGGTCGAATGCTTTCTTTTTCTTTTTCTTTTTCTTTTTTTTTTTCGGGCTTTGTTTCCCCTCTCCTTTGTCCTCTATTGGACCAAGCTCCCTTCCAACTCCGATTGACCATGATCCGACTGAAATCGGTATATAACCCTTTTTTGGGGGTTTTCCATTGGCTGGAAGATCCCTGTTATTGGACAATAGCAGATCGGAAGCGCGAAATAAGACGGTTAGACGGGCGAGAGAATAGTATAAAAACTCTACGCATACTCATCCGGAGAGCGCGGGGAAAACTCTTGGAAAACCAACTGGGCGGAATAAGTCGAATTCATTCCCTGATTTGAGAAATTCGGCCGACAAGAGCTGGGTATGGGAGGAGGAGATGTAAGAGTTCCAGGTTTGGGAAGACATAAATATTGAGGAGAAACTTGCATCGAGCCATATTCCGGAGAATACCTTCGCATTTCAATTTCACAACTGATCACCCCGCAACGCTCAGCAACCCCCCCAAATTACAGAGAAGATTACCTGCTGCAGAGAAACAGTAGTAGATCCTTCATACCGTTACCTCACCTCAGCCTACCCTAGCTCATCCCGGTCTGGTCTTCCATAATACAATCGGGGAAGCTTCACCCAGCGCGTACTTGCTGCCCTTTGCATAATCTGCTCAGAATAATTTAGAACCTTTAATTAACAACAAGGAATAGGGAAAAGCGACGAAGAAAAAGGGTATTCATGGCAGCATTGTACGGTGACGACGACTTTACATTTCGATCGCATGACATCATCCAAGAGCAATCATGTCTGCCACCAGATGTTCACGCCAAAATGATTCTGACGCAGTCATCGCCTGACTGGAGCAATCAGCTTCAGCAACAACCGCAGCTGCAAGAAGGGGCCCCTATCTATTCGCTTCATAACCACCATCAGCAACATCAAGAGGAATATCATCTGGGGAATCAACTTTACTACTACCAAAGGTTCCAAATCGAGCAGCAACGGCAGCAGCAACACCAACAGGAGCTGCAGTTCCAATACCAATCGTACCCATACCAACGCCAGCATCAGCAACCTTGCAACCATCGAAACAAATCCAACGACCAAAGTGAGCGAAGGCCCCAACGCCTGGCCTTACCTCGTCTCGACACTTCTTTCCCCGCCGTCCGACCGCCCAACCAACCCATCAAGAGGCCGAGATACTATGCTAACTTCCCAATAAGCACTCCCGCCAGCTCCACCACATCCACCCCACTATCTCTCAAAGCGAAATGTCAAACCCTTCCCGAGGGTGCCCAACACCAAGCATATTCCTCGGTATTCACAGACCCTGACAGTGCAAGCTCATTCCATTCAGATCCCAGACAACCCGCCTCAGCAGCTGCAATTATTCCCACACAAACCCCAGGTTCATCGGAGCCCGTGCTTCCCGAACAGATGAATCAAATCGATAGCGTCCCAAGACGTCCCGCCAAGGCCACGAAATCCCGAACTCTGTTTGGAGTTATGGCATCTATCGTATCCTCGTCACGCAAGGAGCGGAGCGTGGCCGAGAACCAGAAGTCAGTAGTAGTACCTCAGCTCTCGGATGCCAGTGCTGTGGCTCATGTTAAGAAAAAGCCGGAGCGAATTCAGGCCCTGTTTGCGTTGTTGGAGGGGTTGGTCAGCAAGGACAAATAAATTGAGCTCCGGCCGTTGGATTCGATCAATTGATCCTTTTCACTTTTGATGACCTCCGGTGTTTGGGGTTGGTGATGGTAGTGGTGTTTTTGAAAGAGGCCATTCTTTGCTCTTTCGATTCTGTGACGAGGAAGATCAACTACAGCAGGGCGGTGAATCCAGGCGAACCATCTCAAGCATTTTGCTTTGTATGTCTTCTTTATTTCCTTTTCAGAATCATTCATCATCTCTGTATATCTGTCGTGCTGGAGTTAACCGGTCGTTCCATTCTCAGTTTTTCATTTCTTTATCAGTTTACTTCCTTGTCTTCCACCTGTTTTTTCTAAGTTAGGGGCACGAGGCGATTCTCCAGGTTGTCTTTCCAAGATAGGAAACATATACTGTCGGGGATCTTTTCCATACGTGTTTCACTGTCGAAGACTCGACGTCAACTTAATTAAATTGCGTCTCTGATATACATACCTTAGCACTTCTATCATTTGAAGAGGCTGTATATGATCGTGAATTATACGCCGTGATGCTATCCTCGACGAATATAACGCGATCTAGAGGCGATGTACGAATTCATGATGGAGGAGGGTTATTACATCTTGCGAGTAGCTTCAGAGGCGATTCCTCTATGGCCCGTAGACATGGCTTCTGTCCTGGCGTGGCCGATGCAATATAAACGAACCGCTGCCCATCGCACCGAGACATTTGGAGAAGCCGTGATATCCCAAGAAATCCTCTCTCTTTGTCGAAAGAAATTCGGCATCCGAAAGACCGTAGGAGTTTAAACTTCAAAAATGTCGGAATGAATTCTAGCCATGGTAGTTTCCGTCACGCCGGACAATAAGCGAAATAGATGCATTGAGTGTCCACGGAGCCGGCATCCTTCTGCAGAGGCGGGCATTTTAGATCTGGAGTCCGTAACCCGAAATTCCGGACACCGTAGGGGGTATCTTTCTTGTGTTTGTAAATTTTCAGACATTTATCTGGCCCTAAGGTTGAGGCAGTAGCTGCCTGAATTAACAACAAGATTGAATGGAATGAAAGCTGGATAGTCTATTAGACCGACGGGGATAGGGAGTCAAAAAAAAAAAAAAAAAAAAAAAAAAAAACCGTTTCTCGAAGCCCGAAGCGTGGCCCATCATAACGCGGAAACATTTTCGTGAACCCCGGAGCAAAACCGAGCCGTGCCTTCATCTTTGAGACAAGATATCCACTCCGAACTTTTAGACATTGCGTTGTTTGCTCCGGCACGGTGTTCTTGTATTCCCTCCTTTTGATCCCCGTTCGTTCGGAACGAACGATGATTAGAAAGGGAGCGGGATTCAGAGAAATATCGACACGGAAGTAAGTCATCGGCAAGGCCAATATCATTCCGGACATATCAAGCATGTCAGTAATTCGTAGAGCAGTCAGTAAACAGGGGGTCGAGGCTGACACTGGTCCCATAGCCCGCACAAACGGGTTTAAAAATGTATTTCTCAGTCCGTGCTTCATGCTTCCACGGCTGCTGCCGCTGTGAGTGCGGAGGTACGGACAACACGTTTGTGGGCGGCCATCCGGAGTCCGGCCGGTTTATTGTCATAGATAGGATTGTATCACGGTTGCGGGAAATGGAGTATGCGGGATGGACCGGTGTAAATCCCACCCGGATATAAAGGTGCGATGGAGTGTATCGATTTAATAACTCCGAAATCGCGGGACAACGCTGGACTCCGCTGGACTCCGCGGGACCGCGCTATGTTTTCAGCAAAGGGTTTATTTATTCAAACTGCTAAACTCCGTTAGGAGCTGTTTTTGGGAGGGACGGATATAGGCATTTAGAAGCGCGATGGATTTTTCATAATGATATCGATATCGATATTATTCCCACCTTGGCCCCCCTGAGGCGATAATTCGTGCGTCGGGGTTAACAGACGGACAGACGGCTTTCCCGTGAACTATGATATGAGTAAGGGTCACAAGAGCACGGAGGCTGAGTATATCCGCCTTCATTATTCCTGGTACGGGGCCGTTGAAATCCCCAGCTTGAGAAGCGGCAACTACACAGTGAAAGAAAGACATTATTGTAGTGGGAGGACTCAGAGGAAGCGAACAGGCAACCCACCACAATGCCAAGCTGGCATGACTTGGCGGAATTCCACCTGCTTGACCGCGCGGGTCTGGAAACCTTTCCGTGCCTTCCGCTGCTATCTTTGTATGGATATAGGAGGAGTGATCGACTCACGGGTGCCTGGGATACATCGTTTGTCGTACTATTTAGCTAAATACTGCTATTATCATTTTGTTGCAAGCGACATATCTAGAACATCTGAGCCGAACCCCCTCCCCCTTCATACTACGAGCGGATAAAGCTGCGGCGGCTTTCGTCTTAACAGCGGACTTTCAAGCACATTTCTACGAAAAGTGAATTCGAGGATAACCACTTTCGTATCATTAAATAGTCCCTCCTTGGGGGTGACCTACACGAAATGTCCGCCCGTTGGGTGGCTCATAGTGAGACATTAACTTTGAGCAGTTATTCGAGGAATGAGTTACAGAGATGGATAGAGCTTCCTTACAAACAAGTTTAAAGAGTCACGTCAATCTAAAAGCCAGCAGAGTGAGTGATCTATGTCCATGTCAACAAAGCCTGATGCTCACAAGTGCTGCTTCATACGGAGTCAGAAATGTTCATCCCAGAGCACATGGTAAGTAAGTGTTCCCATAGAGGTTAAAAAAACCCACGGCTTCATACTACTACAGCACCGATGTATAAATAAAAATTAAACCCTTCAATCGCCCGCGGGACGTGAGACCATGGCTTCCCCCTGCGAACTGAAAATGTTATTCTCCAGTTTTACAAACATCTCTTACAGGAAGAAGTTTTGGTGGCTGCTACATAGCATTGCACGGGATGGATGATACACATGCTATTATTATCATACTTTCCACTTCCCTGGTTCATCATCTACCGGCCCTGGTTCATGGCTCTACGACATAGGCATAATATACTACATAGTATAGTATAGTACACAGGAAAAATTTGTCACTCTCCGCTGAATTTCACATGCATATTATACCCCAATTAACATTTAAACGTTGATATTAGTCTAGGCGTGTAGAAAAAGAGGATGAAATCGGTCGGCAATGTAACTTCATTTAATGATCGGCATATTCCTGCATAAATTTTATTTTATTTTATTTTTATTTTATTTTTTTTTTGTTTGCCGAGACATGCAAGTCTAGAAGCCAGTCGGCAGGGGCAGGTCCCAGCAAGGCAACCTTGGGACTGGGATCGGTCGAGAACCATGTTTCTTGTCGGAAGGCGCTAGAAACAACATTGGAAGAACCTTCGCCCATCAGCGACAGCCGCAATATTTAGAAGGTATTAGCAGTCGCAGGAAAGGTGTGCAGAGTTCCGGTGAACTTGTGTGTTTTTTTATAGAAGACAGCAGACAATTCAATTCTCTCTATCGTTGATATAATGGCTCCTGCGTTTAAATCGGGCAAGAAATGCGAGGATATATGTATTCCGTAGAGTGGGGGTTGTTGATGCCACCCTCCTTTGTGCCTGCAATGAATAGTAATAAAATTCCTTCACTATTTTTCAACGTAACCATCCGTTCAGTAAAAAGGACAAGGATAAAGGGAGTATGTAGATTATTGTGATCCAGGTGGTTAAACGGGTTATATTTTCATTTCATATTTCAATCAGTTCCGCAAGTCGCAATTTTGCAGTGTCTTTTTTTCCCGCCAACTTCTTTCTTTTGTTTGGCGAATTGAGGATGACTTTATATTTGCAGCGTATTCAACGGTGCATGTGCAGGGGAGGGGGAAAATGCAAATTTATAGACCATGGGGAGGGAAGGAAGACAAGTGAGTAAAGAATGCCAAACATATCAATAATCCGTTGTTTAAAGGGGGACTTAGTAGATGGGCCATTCGATGATTCAGGGGCTAAAAGAAGAGCGCGCTGCTGGGTTCTCCCATGCCCTTTATTGTTGGTACCGCCATGATCGTTTCCCCCAGCTCCCCTTCCAAGGTATGCCTTAGGGATTAGAATTGTACATGTACCCTGTAGATGAAATCGAAAAACAGATATATTCACATTTTCTGGCGCCTCTTATCCACTTCTGACACAGCTGAACCGCTTTCGATGCGTTCAAAAGGAGAGTATGAAATTCACGTTGTCTGGAACGGTTCATGTCATACTTGTAAGTGAAGGAAATAGCTTCTACCACAGTCACTAGAGAGAGACACCCCATTGATAGAGAATGGAGGCCCACCGTATCCGGCGTGCAAGGCCCGGGTTTCGTGCAATGTAGGAGAGGACAGTAGGAAAGAGCAATTCTGAAAGTAGAATTGGTCAACATAACATCTCCGAAAGAGTAAACTGAAGTTCAGGAACGTTAAATGCTGGATGCTGGATCTTATCCTACCTGGGGAGCACCTGTAAATGCTTTAGCAATATCAACGTCTCGTGACAAGAATGTGAAAGGAGCTCCCGTTTCTGAACCAGAATGATTTCAGGGGCAAGTAACTTCTGGATGAAGAGTGTTTCGACGCTGATGTGGATGTAAAATGGAGCGCCTCGTCAGTCAAAAGCAAGCAACGCATGATGGGTACTGCCTCGAACGTGACTTTATGTGAAGGAGGCTTCCTCACCCGCAGAAGCGGGATATGAGACAGGTATATCTGAAGTCAAGTCCAACCTCTACGCATTTTGCAGCAAGGAACTCTTGCCACAACTTCGGCCTCCAATCAAAAATGTCTAGACAATTTTCGTAACTGATATCCCCAAGAAGTTGACCCCTCCCTGGCTCTAGTCTCGAGCTATCTCATCCTAACGGTCTGAGGAGTCAAGATATGATTGATGCGGTGAGGCCATTTATCGCCATGGGACCGGCAGCATATCAGAACCTACTCTTCACCTGGGGCGAGTGAATTGATTGGAACATCCCCAGAAACATATCTTGGACTCCTGCACATATTTTTGCCAGCAACACCAGCAGAGAGATGCATGGCGATGCCTTCATTTTTCGCTCCCTGTAGAGCGGTATAGGGATACGAAGCCCTTAGTTCAAACGTCTCATCGATATCCTATGAACAACTCCCAACTACACCGCCACTTGCCGTGGCTCCCATAAGTTAGGGGAATCGCTCTGGCATCCCCCATTCGGTGCCCCTTTTTTAAAGGAGTGGATAGAAGGACAAGGAAAAAGGTAATGTGCAGAAAACTAATGGGTAGCTTTGCACCCGCCAAATCACGAACAAGAGATTTCGAAAGGAAGAAAAAGAGGCTGGCTGAAGGGTTTAATATTTCCAAGATATCCATCGTTCCTCCCATCACTGTGCATCTAGGTGAACGGCTCGCCACCTATCCATCCCTGGAACGGGCCCTGATTTTCTTTCCCCAGTCGCATTCCCAGTGGCGCGGATCGGCCTGTCACCGGGGATGAGAGGAAACCTCGAGATCCGCATCTCCTTTGGCCCGGTTGGTTCGTGCGACGCCTAGGGGACTTAGCTACTCCAGCATCATCATCAAGATTTTGAACTAAGCTTATGGTTAGGGGGACTTTGTCCCCGGGCATGGCTTTTTCATGTGATATATCCAGTATTTCTCCGGCTCATGGCCAATGAGTGATGGGACTGAAGTCTAAGGAGACGTGTCAAGTGGCGCGTCTGCAGAGTTACCTTGCAGAGTACATATGTACGTCTGTAGAAGCGTCTTTTGTTGGGGACAAGGGGGGTGCCTCGAATCGAGAGAGATAAACATGACAGACAAAACTCTTCCCCTCCCCACACAGACATGCCCTTCCCCGGCCAATTGACTGGCACGGAAAGCCAACACGGCAGAGTAAAACACTAACCCAAGACGTGGGAAAGATAGCTGTGGCAAAGGAGAACCGAGTTGACGAATCCTGGCTAGTCAGGATGGCGATCAGTGCGCGTCTCCCTCCCGCCTGCCCACTCCTCTCCTGTCAGACTGTCACTGACTGTCAGGGAATGAGGCTCACGGTATCGAATTAGATTAGCAGAGTAGCAGTTCGGGGAGCAGGATAGAATTCCAAGTATCGGATCCGAGTAAGACAAGGAAGCGAGCTGCTCCCAGCTAACCTCAAATATGTATTGTCACTGAATATCGATCCCCGCCACCCCTTCTCTTCTATGTTGCCTCCCAACTGGGAGGTTAGAGATAAAGAGGGAGCTATGATAAACCAAGGTGCCGGAATGTAGTGCGGACCCTGCACGTTCCACCCAATAGCTGGACAAGGGCGGGAAAACGGCGTAGTGAACCTGAACAGGGGAGAAGCATCCTGCTTTTCGAAGGAGAAAAGCCAAAAAAAAAAAAATTAAAAAAAAAAAAAATCTCTATTTGGTGTTGAATTAATCCATGTCCACCTGAAAACGAAACAGTCATTACATGGTATGGCATGTACGGAGGGATAACAACCCTCCTCCTTCCATTTCTTCCCCTGTTCGGCGCATGAGACACCGAGACACAGAGTTGGTCGTTGAGAATACGGTAAAATATCGGGAGGTTTCTCACGGTCCACCTACCTTATAATCATTATCTGAATGGAAATAACTAGGGTAGAAGAGTGCGAGTGGTATTCTTTGCCCCCCTGTGGTAGTAGCCTGTTGCCGGCGGCGATGTCGAGTTCAGTCAGGGGGACAAGGGGAAGGCCAAAGAGGCGCAAGTTAAAAGCGTTATGACAGATGATGCAGGTCTCAGCCAGCATCATTACCGTTCGAATACGAAGATATTCCGGCGAGATGATTTGAGGGATAGTATGTTCCATGTTGAAGAAAATTTTTTTGAACTGGTTGTTGATGTTGAGGAAACGCCAAGCAAGCAACCAGCTGCAAGCGTTGTCAAATTTACTAAAAAGAATGCATAACTAGCCTGGCGTCGAGAAAAAAAAAAAAAGAATCAATAAATAACACGGCCGATTAGAGTTACCGAGGTATCCACCGGGGATCGGGTTTAAAAATAGGTTCAAGTGCCCCACTCTGGCCGAAAGCCAATCGAGACCCGGCCCTGAGAAAAGTCTATTATTCAATTTCCAGGCAAAGAAAATTCCCCACGCCCATTCACGAACAGACCATCATGGTGGACCCTAAAAGCGCCCTTGCAGCTTCTTCTCTCCTTCTAGAAGAACCCAAAATGCCGAATGTCACGCTACGATCCCTGTGCTTTGCAAGGGTGCAGGGATTGTTATGCAGAACAGAAAACCTTTTCACCCGCTAGTCCATGCAGATTGCGTACGGTGTTTTTGGCCCAGTTCATTTGTCGCTGCACGGGCTTGTATTGTAATGTAAAATGAAAAATTCGTGCATCGGGCCACCTGTTTTGGCCAGGGTGATACACCAAAAAAAAAAAAAAGAAGGCCAAGTGCAACACTAGCACCCTGGTGGTTCCATCATAATACCACCCCACAGTGGATATGCGCATAGGGCGGGCGCTTGAAGAAAAATCTCAGAAGGGAATTGTTCTAGAAGGATATGGATAATTCTGGGTCAGGTTGTTGTCGCTTAATTTTCAAATCACTGACTCATTATTTTATATTATTTGCAACTATTGTGTTGCATAACTGCATAAAGCGCGATTTTCTGATAAATAATAAAAATCAAGAAAGCGATGGTAGCTGTAACTACACATGCTCATAATATTTCTCCGAGTGGATGGGAGAGTACGCCCTGTATTGGGCCGAATGTATTCTTTGATCTCCATATTCAAATCCCTCTGCTCCAGTCAGCACATCACCGAGGTTTGTGAAAATTGATTCCAAATTCAACATCACGAGAGGCTTTTCCAAAAATTAATAATAATAATAATAACAGTAACAAGCTGATCTATGCATGTTGATATGCACGATCTCAAGCTTTCACAGGGCCAAAATCTTGGAACAAATAGTAGGGGATATAGTATGGGGTACATTGGCACTCAGCCACAGATCGGGCGCCACATTCGATGCTAGATGAGGTGAGGCCTGGGCCAGCTGTCACTGCCGCCCAGCGATTTCCTGGCTCCATTGTGAAAGTCACCGTATGGGCCTAATACTGCAATTTCGAAGCTAAATGTATTGGGGTAACACAACATCCGCCAGGTTTTCTTTCTTCTTTCTTCTTTTCTCTCTTTCTTTTTTTTCTTTTTCTTCGTGCTTGCCCACTAGCCACGTAACTTGGAAATGGGGAAAGTGTGGCGGTGAAGCAGCCACAGTTACAGCACCAAATAGGAAATGGACATCTCACCTACCTTTGCCCAAACTAGCATTCCCCACAGTTTTCCAGCTTCAACCGCACTATTGATGCCCTTTGATCTGCTCAGATGTGGCGGTGCAGAGTACACCGTGCATTAGCACATGGACAAAGTCCCAGCTGACACCTTCCCTGATCTGCCAGCAAAAAAACCAGTTTCTTCAGACTTTTTCGTTATGTAGGAACCCGCATTTTTTGACTTTGTGAGCATATGTTGGCACAGCAGGCAAGGATGATGATCCATGCCTGCCATGCTAACAACAGCCTGTAGCTACAACATAATGCTGATGCTACTTCACTCCCCCCACCTCAATACACTATTAGCCATCTTTGAATCGGCGAGGATCTTGCATGATGATCTGCTGAACTCTTAGTGTGAAATTCCAGCAAAGCTCTCTCTACAGGACAGAACTTGTTTTAACCTTTTTTTTTTTTTTTTTCCTTCCCAGAGTGTGAAAGCGGGGTCTTTAGCTTATGAGGGCTAGCTATTATTATGCAAGCCATCTAAATTCTTTTAGCTTGATTGATGTTGAAGAGGCCTTTGTTTGTATAGGCAACACTTGCAATAATTGCTTTACTACTCCGTAGAGTGTTTCACATTGGAAAGAATAGGCTTTGTGATAGTGTCTAACAAAGCAATCATTGACTTTGATCCTTTCAAACAGCCCTGCACACACTAATCTACTTCAGATGGTTTCGTGCTTTGCTTTGAATTAAATCAAGTTTTCATTTCCTCTATTATGACTGGTATTAAAGTGATCATCATTTTATTAGACTTATTCCTTTTCTTTTCAAAGAAGGGAGAAGTTTCAAGATATCATTCCAGATTAAAAATGAATTGTTTTAATTTGCTTTGTAATTATTAAAGTACCTAATTACTTGAGATGAAACAAGTGTGTTTATTACTTTCATCTCATCTTACAATGCATTGTTAAAGCTCTATCATAGAGATTTCAGTAGAAGGAGAATTTTATACTTTTTTTTTCCGTCTCATATTTTTGACAGTTGATACCAATCAGTACCTATGTGAAGTGACGATTTTGAAGTTCCAAGTATTTGAATTACAGATGACAGTAGTTCAAAGAGCATGCTACCTGTGTTCATACTCTCTTGATTTGGGGAAAACATGACAACAACCTCTTATGTTTGAGAAGTTGGCAGGTAAATAAAATCAAGGAAAAAAGTGCAGAGTTATTCTACATACATACATGAGGTATGCACATGGTGTCGAATATATCAGCTCCTTAAAAAAGAGTGACTTTATCTCAAAGAGCTTGCGATGGAATTGCAGAGTAACTACGTTCTAGATTCAACGAATAAAAGCGGGTATATATAATATTGCGGTTTAATTTTTCTTGGAAGGGAAGGCTTTTTTAGTGATTCTTTATGTCTTTAATAACAAAGTTAAGAGATATCTGCAAGGTTTTCAATTGGGAAGCAATTCCTTGCTGGCATCTCTTGAGGCTCGGGTGAGAAGAGCGAACTGCATATGCATTATGCTAATGATCATTTGGTGTGAACTGTAGTGGTGCACCTGAATGGCTCAATTGAAGTTACAGCTAATAGCTTTTGCTTAAGAGAATAGTAATCTTTTTTTCTTCAGGAAACCGTAATAAAAACCAATGAGACTTGAAGAATTCTTTCTGATAGAGAGAATTGCGCTTCGGCGAAATTTTAACGCAAAGGCCCTCTGTTGGTTGGGCCTCTGTAACTCAAATGCGGCGGCACTGCAGATCTACCTTAACTCATTGATGATTTCTCTCATTCGAGTATCAACTCTGTCGAACTAGCCGCATATCAATGCATGCTCCTTGTTAATAAATTTGCCGACGTGGTAGTCTGCTATTCATTGATAGTATGCACAATCGACCCCGCAATTCGCCTCATTTTCAGCTGCCTTCGTGGATACCTAGGCACCATGAATAGATAGATACTCAGCTGTCAATAACTGCCGAGGGAATCATCAGAATGGGAGCTTCATCGTTGGATCCTGTGGGTCTGTTCGCTACAAGGAGGCGAAAGGGAATAAGTTCAAATATTTTTACGAAGCCCAGGTAGATAAACTAGTTCAAAGTGCATTCATTATTGATGGAGGGCATTATTATTACTCTTTTATTTATTTATTCTTTTTTTTTTTTTTTTTTTTTTTTTTTTTTTTTTTTTTTTTTCCCGCAGATTATTTTTGCTCGCAAGAAGTTACCATGCCTTGTTTCCTTAATTTTTTTTTTTTCATTTAAATATATCCATTTTGTAAAACATATACACTTTTTGCGAAATCAATGAATAATTAACTTTTTAACCCAGTGCCCTCTCTCTCTTTGATGTTGGTATAACATATTAATATTATTATTCATGTCTCCGGGGCGGAACCTCTGGGGCAATAATGGGTCTCGATCTTGGTGGACATACCCATAGGGCTGACGTGACAGGCCATCGCTTAGAAGTTAGCACGTAAAAGCCCTTAGCCGAGCCTAAGAGCTTGGTCCGGACCCTCAGGAGTTTCAGGGTATTTTTTATTTTTATTTTATTTTTCAGGTTACATGACTCGTTCATCTGTCGGAACTAGTTGCGAGATGTGACTCTACTCTACCTTTTCAATGCAACTTGATTTCTCTCGGAGTCACTCCATAGATGACTGGCTTACTAGTGAATGCTGTTGTTCCAAAAAAGTTTTCAGCTGCCTTATGATTGTTCTATCCGCTCCCGACTGAAAATGTCGGGATACAGACGACCGCCCAGTGCTTATAGAAATGAAAAGGTGGGAATGATAGTCCTTCGCGAATCTAGTCCACCAGCACCAGGCCTAGGGAGCTGTGATAGATGACATGCGATGTGGGTGAGGTTGAGAAATCTCTCTACCTAGATGTTGTGTACATGCGAAACAGTCCTCACTAGTTCTATCGTACCCTATATGTGGTTCTACAGGTTTGCAAAACTCACTGTCTTCTACTTTTATGTTGTAAAAAATTTAGTATTTGTTTTTCCTCCAAGGATTAATTTTATATGGATGGGAAGGTATCAGATAAGGAAGCACTGAAGATCAAATCATGTTATCAACTCACTCTGTTCTTGTATACCCTCTCAAAGAAAAGTATCAAGCGGAACTATGTGGCTCTCAAAAACAGATTTTCAAGACCAGGATCACATCACCATGGTTAAATTCAAAAGAAAAATGGCTCAAGGAATTCAGTGCTTCAGACTCTTTTGACATTGGAATTCCTTTCAGGCGCACAATTCTATCTATGATCCATTGCCACGTTGTCCTCCCGAGGAATAAAGAGGACAGGAAGAAGGCTCAAAAAGAAGGATATTTGTGTTCCCAGAATTCTTGGAAATGATGAAATGGCGTGACATAACTCTAAGCTGACGTGATGTGTGTTTTCCGTTGAACTGTCTTGATCATGATGAGTAGATATACGTATGCTGTACGGAGTAGAGCTTTCTCTATGACAGTTGCCACCTGCTTCCCCATTCACAAAAAAACTCCGAGGGCTCCGACACGGGCACATCGTGAGAGCCGCGGCCGATTATTCTGTTCATATCAAACTGGTAATTTCTTTGTAAGTGTTATTTTCATTTCTTACACACCTTTTTGGCGCCTTGGTAGTCAGTTATACGTCCGTA